ATCAGTTTAAGCTGCACAGCTTAGACTAACCTGCAAAGAGTGAATTAGTTCAGGCTCAGGCTTTTTAAATGTCTGTCCCTAGCTGTAGAGTGTAAAATAATGACAGTTTTAGGTAAAGAGCAGCTGTTATTGTGCAGAATCTGAATCTCACCCAAAAAGCCTTTGGGAAAGGGTAAATTTTGGGGGAGGAATGACTGGTAGGCTGATTTAAAATAATGGTTGCAGTTAGAAGTGCTTTGGGTTTTGTAATATTGGAATAAATCCTGGGGAAATGGACTAGTCGGAAGGTGACAGGTGAGGCAGCCAAAAGTAAAAGACAAAGGCTATTTATCACATCCCTCTGTAATTTATCACATGGAGATCACCTTCACAGACATATATGTATGCACTCCTAAGTATATTATGGGATGTATGTCATAGGGGAAAACTGCCATCCTACAAATAGATGAAAAAAGATTTAATAATGCTATATATATACTGCAATTATAAAAGCTCAAAGAAGCCATTTTACAATTGGGAGTATGGGAGTAAAGCTCACAAGACTCGCATGACAGTGCAAAAGGTATAAGACTAACTTTGACCCTGTAAGCCTCCCATGCTGCAATCAAGTGCACTAACAACAAGCCAGAGGTGTTCACTGCATGAGCAGGTGAAAAAAGGTGATTGTAGGAAGTGTGAAGACAATTATGTATCCATAATACATTCATCCCAATGTGCAAGGACATCTGTTAAAATGCTTTCTCTTAACAAGGGGCTTCAGAGATATGTTATGAAAGCAGGTGAAGAATCATAAATAGAGGATAAATTAATAAGGTGCTGTGAAGTGGCACAATGGAAGTGCAAAGCAAGTATCATGGGAAACACCTCCCATGAATAAGAGCGAAGATAATTTTAAGTTGAAAATAAATACATTGAGGACCACCTGCTATTCTCAGCTGCATGAATCCCTAAACCTGTGCTGCCATTTGCTGTCTTCCTCCCCTTTTACAGAGGCCTCTCAGGGTGTGTGGGCTAAGATAAGCAGCTGTAGCAGAGTACGTAATAAGCAGGAGAAAGAAATGAATGTGGTACCTTTTCTCTCTAGCATGCCCTTAGTACAAATCTGCCTGGAAGTTACCCCCAAGGTCAAAGAAAGGGTCAAGAAATTGAGAGGGAAAAAACAGGAAAAGCTTCTTTTGACCATTTTATACGCTCTTCAGAGTTCACAAAACACATCTTTCATTCAGCCCCTGATATCCAGCAAACACCAAAATCAGCTTGCTCACTTGCCTACTGGTTTGATCACATTACTGCCCACTTCAGATTCCTCTTTGGACTCCCCATCTGTTACGGAATCAAATTTAAGCTCCCTCTTACCATGTTCAAAGCTCTATACAGTTCTTGCCCTTACATTGCCCTCCTAGCTTTTTCACTGCTAATGTTCCCATTCCTTTGTCAGTTCTTTGAAAATAATCTTTTATTCCTTTTTATGTGCTCCCACCATTGCATCCTTTAGCCCACTGGAAAGTCCACTATTCTGTTCACACTGAATGATTTCTTAAAGGAAGATCAACTTCCGATGTATTGTCTATAAATGTAGTGAACTTGTATTAAAAATCCCTGTTTGCTATTCTTCTTTTCCTAATTTCCATCTGTCTGTTCTGTGATTGTGGGTAAGGACTGCTCCCTCTTGAATGTAGTGGCCAGGTGCATCATTGATATTACCCTAAACTAACTAAAAATGTTTTTAATAGGCTAAATTTTTCCAATGTGGTGAGTAACCAAGTGCTTATTCCAAATACCTATTATGGATTCAAGTCACTAAATATGGTTTTAGGTTCCTAGCTTTAGACACAAACATTAACAAAAAAATCAGATCTAAAACCTAAATACGGACTTCCAAGCTCTTCTCAAGACAAGGCCAAAATACTCTCTGCAGGCAATTCTGACATCAAATGCAAGCAATGTTTTGAAGCCAACATTCAAAAGGATTATTTATGCAAATAGTGATGGACTGACTTTTATTATTAAAGCTTATAATAAAGCAGATTTAATGTGCAATGTCTAGTATTTCTCTCACTACAGTTTTCAGGAAAACTGTTTTTCAAATGTCTTAGATGATATGCTATGCCTTACAACATCCAGATGTGTTAAACCCCACAAGAAGAAATTTGTGCATGATTAAGGAAACCTATGCCCCCAAAACACCAGGCAAAAAAGACCTAACTTTAAGTTAACTTGCTTACTGTTGAACTGACTTCATAAGGTAGAAAGCAGTGCAGGCAGGTTATCCTCTAGAGAGCCAGTTGAGGGGCTTACATTTTCCTACTAGTACGAGAGAGCAGGGAACAAGAAAGCCAAAGCAAAGGCTACCATATAGTCTTGGGAAAGACTGCCCATAAAGGCTCAAGATGTACATATGCAATTCAAATATAAATTTATGAAAAAGCAGATATGGGTTGGACCCATGACGGACTATGGGTTGGACCAAATTAGTAACTAAATTTAATCCTATAGTTTTGACTCCATCAACACTTCCATTAACAACAGAAAGAGCTTTGCCTAAATCATGACACCATAAGTTCTGACTGATCATTCTCTAGCTTGCAGGAAGCACTGGTATATATACCTTGAGCCCAGGATTACTTTTATATTTTAAATATAATTTTAACTGTCACCAAAGTTATTTGGCCACAGAAAAGAAACTTATGAATGGAAGCTTTCCCTATGGAAAAAAATGACAAGGTAAGTCAAGCTTCACACCTACCAGTCTTGTTCTATATGGACAAGAAAACAAGCATTCACTGAAAAATAATATTTAGCAATAAAGCATTTTGAAAAATTCAAAAATTCAACAAAAATACATTTACACATGCACACGCTCTACATGCAGGCACACAGACACACACTGAGTAGGAATGAATGGCATACACCTGCCTTGCTTAAGGGCAAAATCTTTTTAGAAAACATTTACTAGTTACAGAAAAGGCCCATTCCACCTTTCAAGAGAGTTGCTGCTTTTCCTTGCACTCAATCACAAATCCCTGCAAGCTCAACTTATCGCTTTGATAAACTATTGCTATAGTTATCACAGGTGGATTTTTTTTAAACTGACATCAAGCAAAAATAAAAGAAAATCCTGTGTAACACAAAGCCTAACAAAAGGAGTTTTATTTCCAGTAAGCTCTAAACAATAATGCATTTCAGCCCAACATTTGTCCTTGCAGGTAGATTCCTCTGTTTAGCTTTGTCAAAAATAAATAAATAAACCATATACCTGGCATTAAATTCTGTAATATGAAACTGAGTGAAAATCCCTTTTGGGAAACTGAATGGGCTGCATTTTGAGAGATGCTGAGCAAATTGTCCTCCCTTGGACTTCTGTGGCGTTATAGTTGTTCAGCTCCTGTCAAGAATTGACCCAAAGGGAGTTTTATATTAATAGAGAAACTAGGCTTTGGGTCCTATTGGTCAAGGCTTCCACACTTATAATAAAAAAGACTTATGAAGAACATGGACAACAGCTACTAAAAAGAAGTGAGTTTCTGCTAGGCTTTAGCTGCTGACAATGATCATAAATGTTTTTATCTGTTATATATCTATATACACACACACACACACATACACATATATATACATACACACATACATATGTGTGTGTGTGTGTGTGTGTGTGTGTATTCTCTGTTTTACAAGCAGTTTTCAAACTCAGAGGCAAATGTTGCAATGTGTTTTTTAGTTATTTAAAAAGCAATACACTGATTTCTAAAGTACTCGCAATTTACATTTCCATTAACTAAAGAACAAAAGCAAATAAAAAATCAATTGAAAAAATAGTCTTAAAAGCTGGCAAAATCTGAATAGTTATCACGTTTGGTTATTTTACTCTACATGTGATCATTAATTCCATATTTTCCACATTAAGTGAAGGTTTAATAAATCAAAAACTGAGTGCTTACTGCCAGTATGCAACATCAAGTACAACCCTGAGTCACGCACATGTATACATATGCACATATACAAACACACACAAGCAACATGTAGAAATAATGCTTCAAGCCCAATGCATTTTGGTGGACAGTGATTTAAATTAAAACATTTCTTTGCTCCAGCCAATTTCTGTGTTTTGCAATAAAGTGGGTAGTAACTAAATACAGTATTTCTTGCACTTTAGCAAAAACTGCTTTTTCAACAAATGTACACTAGGCTGTAATGAGCTATGTTGTGTAGTGGCTAATCTGCTAAAAAAAAAAGTAAGAAGAAATTCTTCTGCCCGGCTCTCAGGTATTAAGTCCGTACATCTTTTATGTTGACAGTTCAGCTTCGGGCTATAAAATAGAAGAACCTGTTCTACATCTACTGTTTAAAACAAGAGCAGAAAACCTAAACCCCCATCAATCTGATGTCTTAGTTTTACGACTTATCTGTGGCAAAAATGAATCATAAGAAAGATTTGTTCTGATTCCACAGACAGATCCATCAACTTGCTGGTGCTTGTGAATCATGCAATTCCTATAGAGACTGGCAATGGTACAGTTGCAGTATTAAACATGCTAAACTGTTGAGCTACTGATACCCACTTGTGATTAATCACAGGGAGAGCCTGCAGTAAGTGGACTCTTAGAAAACATAGATACAGGCACGCACAGACATGCACACACCCGCCCACCAAGCCATACAAACACACACATACAAATATTTTCATTTGTTTTACACTTCTGCCTTCTCTGAATTGCATGCGGTTTTCTGTAAAGCTCTATCAGGACCAATGCAAATATAATAAGGCAGACTGATTTAATTTTGAATATTATTCAGATGAATTTTGATCCAACTCTTTTGGAATATAAAATGCATACAAGTCTACAGTTTCCTTCTTCATATTACTTATAAGCGCTTTAAGAAATAATACAGTCTATCAAGTTCTGAGCTGCAGTCAGGAAAAAAAATAGGAAGCTTTATAATCTTACATGTAAAATTCTGATCACAAGAGAAGACAGCTAGCAAATGAAGTATTTGCTCACCTGGCAGAAGCAGATCAACAGACTGAAGTCTACTTGTGATGGTGTGTAGGGTGAGGATAGCAAAGGAAAGCAAAGTCGGGAATGCTTGAAAAATAAAATATTTTTAGTTAACAAGTTGAAAAATAAAAGGTTGGGAAAAGGGTCCATTTAAATTCTGAATCCCTTTCCCAAAATGGCCTCTGTTTTGTCTAATACAATCTTTTTGAATGGTCATCTCTAAAAAAGGTGCGACAGTAATGTCACAGAAATGCATAAGACCTTTAATGAAGGACTAATACCTAATTCTGCGGAACATACTCAGGAAAGATTCTCACTGAAATGAATAGTTCACTTATTGTATGGGAGAAAGGTAATCAGTATATCACAGTGGCAATGCACTTGCTTTCAGATAATAGTTTATTGGGCCTTTACCTCTCTTATAGCACCCTAGTTTGGTTGATTCATATGCAGGGATCCTGGTTTTCTCTAATAAAAAAGAATCCCCAATTTTTTTACTAAAAAAAGTAACCCAAAATCCACATTTTCCATGATATCTATACATTAGTGGCATTTCATTTTAATCATGGATTAAAATGTGGATTTGGGGTTAATTTTAATTAAAAAATTGGAGATTTTTTTAAATCAGAGAAAACCAGGATCCCAGTTCATATAGCAGCCTCAACACGATAATCGATGACTTATGTAACACAAGACAAAAATTAAACTCTCTCAAGTAGAAGTTTGTTTACCTTACTTCAGTGGTCAAAGTATGCATGGGATATCTGTGTACAGTTTAATGGCAATTATTCCATTAAAAATGGCTCAGATACATAATCGATTCATTATTTAGATATGGTAAGTAAATCCAATAAATTATTTGAGCTATAATAAAAAGAAATCCCATGCAAAGCACATGCAGAATTTTTTTACCAGATTTCTTAGTCATTTAATCTACTTTATGAAACTGCTGAAGGAAACATTCAGCTGTTTGCTGAAAGACTGACTTGGGGATTATTGGAGCAGTATAATTGTTCAACTGATCAGATTTAAAAAGAAACACTTTGTTTTACATTAATCTTGCTGGAATGGGCAATACATTTCAGAAATAGATCGCTGTCTACAAGTCTTGCCAAAAATGTCTGGCTGAGAGCAACTGCTGCTTATTTTTTTATTATTATTATTTTGAACAGTTTAATTTTCTTATTTTCAATCTTTATTCAACATCTGTTGTTCCCCCCTCCTCTGTAACATAATTATGCGGTATTCCAGCATAAAACAGGTTGAGCAGTTAATAACGGGCAGCTTAAACATTTTTTCGCACTGTTGCCCTGCAGATGTTTCTTTCATTTTTTTTTTTCAGGGGGAGCTTCTTGTTTAATTTGTGTATGTTTCTTTCCTGCTCTTAAAGTATGCTCTCACAGCATATGGAAGCACCTGAACATAATCTGGGATGTGCACATGTTTATGCTGTTCCTATAAATGATATTCAGTACATTAAAAGGGGGAGTAAAATCCATTTTATTTGTACAAAAGTAATCAAGTATTTATCCTACACAAATTAACACTGCAGGCACTCTGAATTCACATCCACAGTCTTTCTGTTTTCATAAATACTCTCTTTTATCCAAACAGCCATATATTTTATTGGCTAAATTTGTCATAACCCCCCCCATACATTTTAAAAGCAATCATGCTTCAATGATAAATACGCTTCATTTTGGAATACTTCATTTTGATAAGTAGCACTTGACATTTAGCCCAAAAAGATGAAAATATTTCAGTGACAGATGTTAGATCTGTTCAAAAGGTCCACTAAAACAAGGAGAAGCCTCTATGGAAACAACTTGTTTTTCCTTAAATTTTCAATAAATGTGATTGTTAGAATATATAAGAGGTCCTAATTCTAATGAATTACATGGAATAAGGTGTTGCATCATGTAGGAGCTAACTGAGAAAAACAACAACATCTTATGCATGTTCACTTAATTCACATTAGGATAAAGAGTTTAAACAAATCATGTTCAAAAGAAGAAATAAGGATAGAAATAGGAAGACTCTCAACCCGCATGCAATGGATTGTAAGTGAATAAAGCCCTGGAAGTGCCTGGGAAAATACATGTCAAGCAATTAGATACTTCCTTTTGGTAAATACCCTAACTGAAATTCGTCCAATGTATGATAATGTATTTTTCACAAGCCGGATCCCACTTATGCTTGATAACATAACAGTGTATTTGCTCCACATAATTGTGAATTAAAATGTCTTAGTTTGCACTCCTAAGACTGACGGGTGTTGTCTTTTTATACTATAATGTTTGTTTTCTGTATTATCGCAGTTTGTTATTTAGTATATATGGACAATTTTGCGTATTCTCTCCATATATCCTGGTAGGCTGTTATTCATAATGTTGATTTTAATCTTTTTCCAGTTCACTCTGCAGCATGCAATTTTTTTCTCCTGTGTTGGGTTCCACTGACACTTTATTTTCCAAGGAGAAAAGATATGAAGCTTTATTAACGAAGTAGTATATCATTTGATAAACTCTTTTAGAAAGTATATATTGCTTTTTCCTTTCTGTTTTCTCACAAAAGCTGACCTTATAATTTTGGGATTTATTTTCTTTAACACTTGTTAGCATTGAAGACAAACTTAAATTTTAGCATTCCTGTTTAGCATCTGCTCTTCCAAAAAAGTCATAAAATAGTTTTGGAGCCCTTTTCCCAGCTTTTCAGTAAAAGCGAAAACACAGTTTTGAACTAGCAGAGTAAGCTAGAGGCAGATAAATGAAGAATATTTTTTAACTAAATATGAATAGAAAATATTTCAAAAAGATTCATATCCTTTCTTTGGGCAAAATTACATATAGGAGAGTTACAGATTATCAGATTATTCCACTTTCTTTTTGTTCTTCTGAATGATGCCTTTTTTTACCCTCAAGCAGAAGGTTAAAAATCATTTTGAAATGAAACACCTCAGATTTTAAATCTCTCTTTGTGATAAGGAAAGGAGAGGCATTTGATTTTTTTTTTAAACAGTGCTGAATGCTAGAAAATGCTTTAATAATGAAAGATTACATATGTAACTTTTTTAAACGTGCCCTATAAAATTACCTATAAATATGTGCATATTTAACATCGAAGTTTCTTTTGTAATGCAAAAAATTTACTTTGGAAATAATATTTTTTTCTTCACAGGGGTTCTTCAGCATATGCTTGCAACAAATCTCTTTTATAGTTTCACTTTTAAATTACCAAAGTTACAGAAAAAATCCTTATTACAAACTATCCTTACCCATTCTCAACAAAGGAATCAAAGCAGAAAAGGGAGTTTAAAAATGGAGAGGAGATGCTGAAGAATGTTAGAAGGAACTAAAAGGCAGCACCCCACATCTGATACATCCTGAAAGTACCTGGAAAGACTATGAAGGAAGAATACTTTCTACTAACTGTCACGTAACAGTGCATTGCTAGTTATTGTGCAGTCACGTGTGCCTAGAAAACTGGGAGTCACGGAATTGATCTAGCTAGGTTTTAACTTACACCAGGGCTTTTTAACTTAACCGTGGGTAAAAAATGACAACACCATCTTCAATACACATGCGCGCGCACACACACACACACACACACACGCACGCACAAAGAACCCCCACCCCCATTTTATACAAAATTAATGCAACTGTAATACTGTGTATGGTAGAGTCTTTCTGCCACATCATTACAGCTTGAATGAAAAAGAGAATGCATACTGTATTGCAACCCTGCAAATTATACCCTGCTCACTTAGCTTCACATATCCTCTCTAAGCATCATACAAGCATCTTAGGTTTCATTGTCTACAGGTGGGAATTCCACTAAATAGCTTTCTATAGGGAATTATGTAGGAATTTAATTTAATTTTTCATGACATTTAGATCATCACCTAAGTTGATCTGAAAAAGATGCAGAAGAATAACTTATTCATATTATCAGATCTTGATCAAAGAAAAGTAGAGGAACAATAAGCAATATTGCAGCATATTTTTGCTGCACATTATCTTGCTTTTTAGAATGGATTTTGAGAGTCCTAAAATAAATAGGAAGACACAATAAGCCATACATAAATATATATGGGTATGTCTTATATATTTATCTCCTTTCTTGAATATGGTTACAGAAAAAGAGGAAAAAAGATTTTAAACTTTTTCTATTTAGAGTCAAAATAAAACACCACACTGCCAGCTAGATGATGGTCTGTATTTAACTACCTTGTCTTTTCAGATTCTATATGTGAATTCAGAGAACAGTTGTTTGTGTTAAAGAAAGCTCAAAATATAAATTCAATCCCAGGTTTTGTGTTTTCCGTGCCTCAAAAATGTAAATCTTATAACTGCCACTAATTGATGTCTATACATTTGTAAGCAGGACCATAATTGTTTTGGATTCTGAGTATGAATTTGTGTTGTATTGTTCTTTCACTTGCCTATTTGCTTAATTCTTATCAGCAGACTCTTCCTTAAAAACCTTTCAGACAGAAGTTTCTGGGTTTTTTGCTGGAGCTTTTAGTTGGTATGGATTGGCATGATCACCTCTAACTTTTTTTCTCTCCCCCATTTTCCATCTTTCTTCTCCTTTCCTGTCAGAGTTTCATCCCCATTTCTTCAGTTATCACTTATCCGCAAATTACATGCTGATAGCATAACTGCTACAGGGCACAGAAAGTAAGTTTGTCTAGTGGATCACTGCCTGAACCTATAAAGCTTTAAATCTGGGTATCATTTCAATCATATATATGTGTGTGTGTGTGTGTATGTGTGTGTACATCCGTGCACACACACACACACACACACACACATATACATATCCATATACATATATATCAGCAGTGTTACACTAACAGTGTTGCACTAACTAGCAGAATACACTAACATGTTTTTCTTCTGCTAGATTTGACTCTACTCATTATTAAAATCAATATTTCTCTTTCCATTCCTGTTATGCTACCATACTGCTGGTGTAGCCATCACTACTCCAGCTCTATCCATTACCAGGCACTGATTAGTCCAGAAAGGCAGTTCACAAGACCTGCCTTTCTTATAACATATGGCAAACCAAACAATTGCTCTGAC